TTTTGAAATCTTCTACATTTTATTTGTTGTTGTTATTATTTACATTCTCATCTTTTTTAACATTTTTGAAAAACCTAGAAATGGAAAAGTGTGGTGTTCATCAGGTCCTGTTACTCGAGATCAAAATGCTTGTTTAACCCTGTTGCTATTGGTGTCTATTATTATTGGAAGTCTATGGTCTTTGCTATTATTCTTTTATTCAGTTATGAAGTTTAAGGTATTTTCAGTTACAATATATGGAATCCTCTGGTCTGGTATGTACTGTAGATAGGTTTATGTTAATATACACTTCCTTGTTTTCTGGTTGATTCCACTGGATAGTGTGACAAGTGAAGGGTGAGTTGGAAATGTGACTTAAATAAATAGTTGAAAAGGAAATATCAGTTCCCATCCTTACAGGCAGAATGCTTAACCATCGTGCATCCTCACGAAGCCCACAGTTACATTATCATTAAAACCTGCAACTTCAGAAGTCAAGTTTAGTTTTTTTTATTAAAAAATACTTTTAGTGAGACAACTGTTTAAGAACAAGAACAAGTGAATATTACTATTATTTTCCCAAGCATCTGTTTTTTTTACCTTAACAGATGGCAGAAAGAAAAAGGAAGCACATTATCTAAAAAAGAATTATGCAAGCTTGCTTAAACTTAAATTTATTACTCAAGTTTTAAGAACAGATGTGAGAATCGTGATCTGGATGTATAAATTATTGATTTGCCTGGGCTAGGCATTTTGACAAGGAAATGGACTCTCATTGGTTTTTCATACAACATTTCATATTTTGGCAGCACTATACTACTGCTCACATGGTCTGTCATTGCATGTTACATGTTTTGATTTGGCATGAATTACACCTCTGCATAGTGTACTGTATTTTAAAAAGAAACACTTGAAGGCAAGGGGTGGCACAGTGGGGCAGTGGTTAGCATTGCTGTCTCACAGTTTGGGGCCCTGTGCTCAATTCCTGGATTGCTTTCCGTGTGGAGTTTGTATGGTCTCCCCGTGTTCATATGGATTTTCTCCTAGTGCTCTGCTTTCCTCCCACGCTCCAAAAGCAGGAAGATTGGCCCTGGTGTGAGTGTAGATGTGTCTGTGTTTGCATCTGTGTGTCTGCCCTGTGATGTACCCTGCATTGCTCCCGTTGCTTGCTGGGATAGGCTCTGGCTCTCGCACAAGTCTGAACTGGAGGAAGAGCTTAGAAAATGGATGCTACGTTAGGAAACGAATGGTTGTGAAAATAAAAACAATGGCTTTATTTTTAATGAGATGAAGAGCCAAGTCCTTGAAGGGAGACGTAATGGGATTTTTACAGTATATTCACTAAGAGTGACTAAGAATATCCTTTTTCACATCATGCTTCTTACTGACTTCATGTGATTTGTGAGTGGGTTTCACGGCTCCCCTGTAGGTCCCTCGGTCTGTGTGCAGTGACAGTTGTTCTCCAGGTTCAAGAAAGGCCACTCGCAGGGGACAGCCTGTCTGCTGCTTCGACTGTGTCCCATGTGCTGATGGGGAGATCAGCAGTCAGACAGGTGAAGGACTGCATGTGATTGCATTAGTTTATTGTTAGTTGGAAACAAATCTTCTCTTTCTTGCATGTTCTAAATTTTCAATATTCTTTTATAACACTTTATTGAAAATTATTTTGCACTCTTTGAGGTACTTATTTCTTTGTTCTTTCCTCCCAAACAGACTCCCTCGATTGTACGAAATGCCCACTGGAGACATGGTCAAACAAAGCAAGAGACCAGTGCATCCCAAAAGAGGTGGAGTTCTTGTCCTATTCTGAGTCAATGGGAATGGTACTGACAGTGGTGTCGACACTTGGAGCCTGTGTCACCATAGCTGTTTCTGGGGTGTTCATCTTCTTTAGAAACACCCCCATCGTCCGCGCAAATAACATGGAGTTGAGCTTTTTGCTGCTGCTATTCCTCATTCTGTGTTTCCTTATTGCACTTACATTCATAGGAGAGCCAACAGACTGGTCTTGCATGGTCCGCTACACAGCGTTTGGCATAGGTTTTGCTCTGTGCATTTCCTGCATTCTTGCAAAGACAGTGGTTGTGCTTGTTGCTTTCAGAGCCACTCTCCCTGGCAGCAATGTCATGAAGTGGTTCGGTCCCACACAGCAAAGAGCCAGTGTGTTTGTCTGTACCTCAGTCCAAATTCTGATCTGTATAGTGTGGCTGATAACCAGCCCTCCACATGCTGCACATAACACTGTGTATCGAAGTGCAAAGATCATCTTGGAATGTGCTGTTGGGTCAGTGCTGGGATTCTGGGGTGTTCTGGGTTATATTGGACTGTTAGCTTGTCTGTGTTTTTTTATAGCCTTTTTAGCCAGGAAATTGCCAGACAACTTTAATGAAGCAAAGTTTATAACTTTCAGCATGCTGATATTTTTTGCAGTGTGGATAACCTTCGTCCCAGCCTATGTTAGCACTCCAGGAAAGTATACTGTAGCTGTGCAGGTCTTTGCTATTCTGGCATCAGCGTTTGGTCTCCTGTCCTGTATCTTTGCCCCAAAGTGTTACATTATTTTATTAAGACCTGAGAAAAATTCCAAGAAATATTTAATGGACAAAAGTAATAAGAAGCACCAAAGAAAGAGAACCAATTTTATTAATACCTGAGAAAAATACCAAAAAGTATTTGATGGGCAAGGGTGATAAGACTCATTAAAGAAAGAGATCCAGTTTTGAATCTTTATCAAAATCGCATTAAAATATTGTGTGCTTCTAAGTATAATTAAAAAAAAACATTATTCTTTCTTGGTATATATTTTCTTTCTTTAAAAACATTCTTTAAAGAATCAAGAAACAGATTATTAATAGTATGAAACTTGATTGGTTATGAATTTTACTATTTATATCTCCAAGAATAAAATAAAATACTTACAGTTGCTTTGTCAATTCATTGTCTGATAAACATAAAAGATGCCATCCATTCTTACCATTTTGATAATTATGTTGCTATTTGTTTTCTTTCAACATACTTCTATACTGATATTCTGTATTATATTTTTGACAAGAAAAAGCAAAAAGGAAAACTAGAAGTAATAAAACATGTTAAAATTGAAACAGATATTGCACGGATTATGCTTAGATGCTCACATGCTCTCTACGTTTTATTACCATATGCCTTTATCATTTTCTGTCTTGTTGTAATATGTATTATGCAATAAAACTTAGAAAATATCTTGATTTACATTTCTTAACCCTTCCTAGTGTTACTTTGAGATCTGTGCAGTAGAACATGATAGCTGATTGGCCCTTCTTTTTGATGAGACAATTTGGTGAGCCTTAGACATAAATTGTCCAGCAGGAAGTTCATCTTGACTGTCTCGCTACGCCACGTTATGCTGTACTGTATGTTGCAAAAGATGCATTGATTTCACAGTTTAACGGGTAACATTAGGGATGTTCATGGGCGTCTTCTGTAACTTTTTAGAACAGGCTCTGGAAGAGTGCAATGTAATTACCACCAAGGTCCACTAGTTGGAGAGTTTTTCTGTGGCAAAATGGACATTGCGCAGCAGAAAGTTAATAAAGGGTATGGTATATCGTGGAAAAACACCGGACAGCAGTGAAGGGTGCTTATTATACAGCGAAAAGTGGGATGTTATACATTTGAACAGAAAATGCTAAGCCATTACATTTCGGAGTTTAGGCTTACTATAGAATCTATGATCTGGAATGATTTCTCTCCTTTGTTTTTGAATTTCTTAAATTACAATATCATGTGTTTTTCCATGTCTAACTGAAACACGTATTGCAATATAAAATGTAAGGACACACCACATCCAAAATTAATAAGAATACATATAATACATAAGAATACATAAAACATGTTTGTATGTTAGATTAAGACAATAATACCTCCCGCTCTCTAGTTAAGCAAACTCATTATCCTACCAATAATTCAGAAAGAAAAAAGTCTCAACCACGAAAATCTTTTTTTAATGTTATTCCAGTTTTCACTTAATGAGAACCTAACTTCAGAAGTCTTTTCAGAGTTTTGGAATATAACCTCACATATCGACAACACTTCTAACATGATAAGCAATACGAATTGAGATCATACTTTAGTCACATTGATGCATTGCTTGTGTTTTAAAAACTCAACTGTACTGACAAAAATAAAAAATCGAATGTCATTTTCAAAATTCCAAATTTCACCTTCACCTCCCAAGCACAAAGGTGAGTACCCTTCAATCACACGTTGCCAATGAGATAATTCGAGCTTAAATTTAACGATCTCGAAAATGTATCAAATCAACCTACTGATGTTCAAATTTAGTGAACTTTAGTACCCTGGATACCGACAATCGCGATGCGAAAAAGCTTCTCTCGCTAGAACTGCTTCTCCCGGACAGGAAACAATACTTTAAAAACTTCAGAAAAGCAATTTATATGTACGATCATAATGAAAATCGGTAAAGATGCATGATTAGATTAAAAAAAAAACTGCCATTGTAAAACTAATTTCCTAAGAGGCCATCGTTATGCTGTTCGTTTAATGTGTCTGATGTTGATATTATTGCTGGAATGGGAAATCTCGTGAAGTCTTCGTGGAGAGTCAGTGTGATGGAATAATATTCCAGTATTAACAGTATTCACGCGGGAAATGGTTTTCTGTATGCCTGCAGGCATCTGGGATGTGAGCGTAGCAAGCAGTCTTCAAGTGATTCGTAAAATCGCTTCACGTTGTAATAAACTGTTTTCGCCCTTTCTAAAACGGTATCTCGACCTTAATGATCAAACTGCCTTTTAGTCTACAGTACAGTATATAATA